AAGAAGAAGAAGAAGAAGAAGAAGAAGAAGAAGAAGAAGAAGAAGAAGAAGAAGAAGAAGAAGAAGAAGAAGAAGAAGAAGAAGAAGAAGAAGAAGAAGAAGAAGAAGAAGAAGAAGAAGAAGAAGAAGAAGAAGAAGAAGAAGAAGAAGAAGAAGTTGGTAGGGACCTTGGAGGTCATCTAGTCCAACCCCCTGCTCAGGCAGGAAACCCTATACCATTTCGGACAAATGGCTGTCCAGTCTCTTCTTAAAAACTTCCAGTGTTGGAGCATTCACCGCTTCTGGAGGCAGGTGGTTCCACTGGTTAATTGTTCCAACTGTCAGGAAGTTTCTCCTTAGTTCCAGGTTGCTTCTCTCCTTGCTTAGTTTCCATCCGTTGCTTCTTGTCCTGCCTTCAGGCGCTTTGGAGAATAGCTTGACTCCCTCTTCTTTGGGGCAGCCCCTGAGATATTGGAACACTGCTATCATGTCCCCCCTCGTCCTTCTCTTCGTTAAACTAGACACACCCAATTCCAGCAACCATTCTTCTAGTCCAACTCCGTGCCCAAAACAGGAGACCTTTTTTCCATCCTGGACAAATATCCGATCTTTTCTTGAAGACCTCCAGGTGACAGTTGACCTGATGACGTGCAACGGATCACCCCAAAAAGTTGATGAAGTTGGAAAAAGGTAAAGAAACTTACTTCTGTGATTGTATCCCGGGGGATAGTTGCGAAGTTGGGCGAGGAAAACGTAAACCCGCTATCCGTTCCGGCATCGTATGGAAAGAGGTCCATGGAGACGTGGCGCTTCCAGCCGTTCTTGTCACACAAATTAAAATTCTCAAATCCCACAAACCAGTCAGGGCTGGGCACGATTCGCACCGCAATGGATACCTGGACATTCAGGGAAAAAAAAACCTTTGCTTCAAAAACTGGGAGTGAGCCTGGTTCTCTTTAATTAGATCATTTTAATAAACCAATGCAACCACGTGCTGGAATTGTGACAATCGAGGTTATTTATTATGTTCACATTATTTCAAGTTTTTCTCGACTCAATAAAAAATATTACTTTCCGGAGAAGTTCAAAGCAGCGGGCAATAAAAATAGAGAGAGAGAGACACTCAGCAGGGTGTGATAGATTAAACTTCCTAGACTATAAGTAATACAAAGTGAAGCGTTATTTTAATAAAGTTGAATTCATTGCCTCGCGATTCTGGGAGCTGCTGTCTTAGTAATGAGTTATATTTCATTGACGACCTTCTCAATGAATTAAAAGGTTTCCCCAAATAATCCCGCTGTTTTATGGTAATAAAACACGTGGGTGATAGGCAGGGTCTTTAATCTTTAAGTGCAATCAACTACAGGAGAAAGTGCCAGCCAAGATATATCCGTGCTTTGAACCCTCTGCTGATTCAATTGCTTGCAAATTTATGCAGCCGTAATTAAAGAATAATAACTGCCCATCTTAAGGTCTATTGGACTAATAATTCTTTAGTTTGTTTGCAGCTTTACTGCTGTTAGGAATAAAATTTTAGAATAAAAAAGTAAAGTTAAGTGACACGTACTCTGCAAAATTTCTACACGCAGACAGTAAGATTTCTACACAATATTTCTACACGTAGACTGCAAGATTTCTACACAATTTCTACACGTACACGTACCTTGGAAGAGTTCTGCACGTAGGCTATAGGATTTCCACACTGAGCTGTAGGATTTCATGATAAAGTACATATAAGGGAATAGGTGAAGCAAAATAGTAAGGGGCAGGGATAATGTATTTTGTTTAGGCGGCTCTGATAAGATTGTAACCTCAGAGGAGGGGCCAAGGCCTCGGGATAGAATGTATATAATGTGTGTCTTTGTTGTGACTAGGTGTGGCTCAAATATTTATTTGGAGTCCACCACGCTTTGCAAACCGTTGTATCCAATAAATCTCTGTCTAATTTCAACTTGCTGTTTGGTGTTATTCAGTGGGCTAGAATTTCTACCAACACTGCTTTGGGAGTCTGTACTTGCTCCGTAAAAGGTCGCTAGGAGATACTTCCAACTTACTAAGGGATGACCTGGGTCAACTTCAAAGACCGTGGAGGTCTGTCCTGTTCCGGTGACCACAGGAGAAGCCGAGAAGATTCCATAAATGCTTTGCATTTTCTCTCCAGCTGCTTCTATTTCCTTCATGAGCATCCAGGGTTCCCCTCTCTCCACCAACTCACGCATGCCGTTGCTGGCATAGCCGTTGGCTTTCCACATGACGTAGTCGGAGTTGTGGGCCACACCTGTCGAAGAGAAGACGCACAAAAGGCAGATTTGGAATGACTTCCTTCAGAAAGCTGCTTCTCGCTTCTCTTCCTGGAAGGGAGGTCCTTCCTTTGTGACTCGAAACACGGGGAATGGGGGTTGACTTCTGCTGCAGAAAAAGAGCACCAGACACAAAAGCTCTCCAGGATTGTGTACTTGGCGCTGTCTCCCAGGGAAGTGAATTTGGATGTAGCTGAAGAACCAGCAGGAGGAGAAGGAGGAGGTAAGGATGTCCGTCAGGAGGGCCCAAAAAGTCAAGGTGGCAGCCTCAACCACTATTCAGAAAGATTGGGCATCCCAAAGGTGCTTTTTCAAGAGGCAGCTGGACTTTCTTCTTTTTCTTTGAAGATATTTTGCTTCGGCTCTACTTCTTCAGAGAGCTGAAGAAGCTTCTTGGAGGAGAAGCGAAATGTCTTCAAAGAAAAGCAAGAATGTCCAGTTGCCTCTTGAAAAAAAGCACCTTTGGGACAACCAGGACCTTGGATGACAAAGGATCTCCATAGGCGTTCAGAAAGACTGGAGCTTTGATAGTGTGGCCAGGCCTCCCATATTGATTTTTGTTACTACCTTGTAGTAGGATACTCTTGGGACATAACACCAGACATGTCAGTGGAGGAAAAATTACAAGCTGTGTCTCACTTATTTTTGGCC